AATAGCCCACAACCCTTCACGCCTCGCAGTGGGGAAGGACATTCCTTTACCCCTGCATTCCGCCATTATCGGTTGGTTGTGAAAATGCGAGAAGTTTGATGGTTGGGAGGCATTGATGGTAGTCGGCGTCAAAAGCACTGCTCATAAGTCAGTCCCTACATTTGGCAGCACAGGAGTTTGAATCGTTTTAACCCATTCCACCTTCATGTGCTGGTGGCATGCTGATTGTATGACCATTCATGAATGCATGCAACACCTGCGTCATCACAGGCAATGGCGACCTACTCATTAGGGCACATCCTCCTTCCCTTTCTCCATCCTCACAAAACAAATTATGCTGCACGCGAAACTGCTAAGCTGAGGCGAATGCCAGGGCAAATTCCACGTGTTCGTACTTGTTGGCTACTCCGACGGGAAATGTCTTCGTTTCTGACGTCCTCCTCCCCGTCGATATGTGTACAACCTTGCCTAGTTCAGCGTAACGAGTGCAATTCCTTACTTAGAAGGAGTACACATGAAGTGATCTCCAACTCAATGGTTGTCTCAGGATTGTCTTCTTACTGTCGTCGGTAGGTGTAGCTGGTGCGTCAAGAAACTGTTTAGCCGATGCATATAAGTAATACAAAAACGTGGTTGGGCGTTGTTAGTTTAAAGCACTCCACGATCCAAGTTGCCTTACCGAGGAATTGGCAACTCAGCATGCAGACATGGGTTGAACCTTCATCTACGCAATCACCTTCTCCGCTCACAAGCGACAAAGCATTTGGTAGTTTTCCCAAAAACGAAAAGCCTAGTTTCCAACATAGGTGGCCTTACTTGTCGCCTTACCATCTCAGCAGGCATTCTTGCATCTCGTTGCTAGCAGCCCGACTTTAGTCCCTCCCAACGTCCAGTTAAGCCTCCACCTTCCAGCCCATTTAGTCAAAAATAAGGTTGACATGTTGGGCTGGCGACTGCACTCTCTCGCACTCGGCCCATTTCAGTGGTCTATCGGTGAAGTGAAGAGTGGGATCGTGGCCCGCCCGAATGGCCAAGAATACGCAACGGGCTGACGAGATTCGAAAAACAAACAAGGCATTCCCTTCAGCCTTCTTCATCCTTGCGGTCATCCTTGAAGCATAAAATTTAGTCCCCACGATTTATGCAGAAATGGAGTTTCCTCTTCCAGATGGTATCTGGACAAAAAAAATCATTTTTACGTCCTGTCTTAGGGCGTGTTGGAGCTGCAGCACTCTGAACACGCATTCTCTGCCTTTTTGTGAACTACCAAAAGTGATTCCGCTCTTATCACTGAAAATAGCTGGACTAAACGTTTTGCTCAACCATTTCGTCAGTCGCCTCGTTGTGCTAGCGTCAAAACCACGTCGGTCGAAGCGGTATATCAGCAAATAAGCAGCTTCTGATCACGTAACTACTTGTTTGGGTGGGTGTGAAGAGTCAGTCTTGTTCGGAAGTGAGGTTGTGGCCTACAGCAAGATAAGGGCTGTCGTGAAAAGTGGCATGCCTTAAAGTGAGTGAGCGCTTGAGATTGGATGAACTCCAAGTTGGCCTTCTAAGCAGCGTAGGCCTTAGCAGCCGGAGGTACAGTCGGAGTGAGTGCTGAAAACGGCTGAAAT